CGAGGAGGAATTTAATTTTCCATTAATTTCCAAGGATTTTCCGTTTCAAGGAAAACGTTGGATGGAAATTTTAGAATGGTAAAGGGGGGGGGGGCACTCGTTTTGGGATATTATTCGAAAAGAACGGTAGAGATGGTATGTCGAAGCTTGGAATGTATAAAGATACGCGAGGATAAAAAATATTATCGAAGAAGATATTAAGATAAGTAGGATCTCTTTCCCTTACTTGGCAACTTGTATACCTTCTCTGCGCGTGGATTCGAGAAGATATCGAGCGAAGGAAGATACGTGGATCTCGTGTAATCAATGCGAGCGTGGAAGATGGAAACGTCGAGTGGGATCGCAAAAATTCTTGTTTCGATAGAAAACGAAGCTTTGTATAAGAACTCGTAATATTCGTATTTCAACCGAAACATCGTCGACGTTACAAACGTCGGCATAATCGTGGTAACAACTTGCAGAAACTAATTAATGCCAACTGCTAAACGAACTCAGTATCAATTTCTCATAATCTCATTTTCTTGTTCTCTTGTTCCTCTTCGATATTACGATACCCTCAGATTTTGCGAAATTTTTCTCCACGATTCTTTTCCACGATCCGCCATCTTGGAAGATCAGAGCTTGGAGACAGGCGCTCGGTTTAATTCGTTTACACCCAAGTAATTTCTTTCTGGATCCGGTTGGGAGGAAGGAGGAGGACGAGGAACTACGAGAAAAACAAGGGACATCCGCGCTCCGTCTCTTCTTCCTGGCTGGCAGACGCACTGGTCGATAGTCGTCCACAGCCACGAGACTTTGCTTGAACTTAATTCGACCGCACGCTCGATTCGGCAGATGCGGCGGACAAATCGCGTTGCAAACCGGCCACGATTGGGGTCAATTAATTTCGGGTTAACGCTGTCCAAAGACTCGTTATTGCCTTAACTTGGACCCCCACGTTTCTTCTGGGACGACATCTCGGGGCGGGGAGATGGATTTAGGGACAATTGGTTCCTCGAGCTTGATGGAAGGGGAGGAGATTAGAAGAATAACGATTGTTTGGCGAATTTAGGTGGCGAGATCGATATTTCTTCCAAGATCGAAGAATGGCGGAGTTGAGTTTGAAATTTGAATTTAAAATCTCTGTTGATAGTTCGATTAAAAATGAAATATTTGCTCTGCTATTTAACGAAACGAACGATTCGATTTTTCTCCAAATTTTCTTGAGAAAGTCTTATTGCAGACTTATATGTAGATCTAATTTTTTTATTTTCGAATATATGTATACACGCGAGACTTGGTCATCATCTCGATGGATAAAATCTTGCTATGATTCGATCATTGTCCATGTTTTTAGTGCGTCGATCATGGAAATCTAGAGGGATCCTGTCCACTCATTCGACCGCAAATGGTGTTGCGAGTCCGCCCCGACCGCAAATGAAATGGAAGCGGTCCACCGGTGTTATCGAACATCCGTTTTGACAACTTTTGCATTCCCCCGGGTTCGATCACCGAGACATTCGTATCCGGTCAAAATTATTCTGTTGAAACGCCGCTCCTTCTTCACAATTGATCAAATTTATCTGAAATCTCATTACTTTCAATCCATCCAAGGAATTCAACGAAACTCGCTCCCATTTACTAAACCAGGCGAGCGGAACCCATGAAATGACTCAAGTTCTAGCCTCGTCAGCGAGAGATCCACTAAGCTTGCTCGAGCAGAAAACAGTTCCCAAAACAAGTAGAAACTACCGGAGACAAACAACTTCTGAACCCTCGTTTTCAACAATTTCCAAGGAACGGTAAAAAGTGTTTGGCTCCGTAAAGTGTCATTTATATCATTATGCGAAAACAAAGAGAAATTGTGAGTAACAAAAATGGAAACTAATTAATCAAATATCTATTTTAAGAGATGTTTCAATGAAAATAATTCGACCGAATTCGAAAAATTTACAGCAACATAATTTGTTTGATTAAGATTGTTAAACCTGTATTAAGAAGAATTATAATTGTGGCCGTTAAAAGGAACGGCCATAAAAAACTTTAGATTAAAGAAGAATCACTCACACAATTAATCATTATATCACTTCCGTTAACCGTCCATGAATTATTCCCATTAATTTTTCGACTAGAAATCATCCAATCACAAGAAAATTCAATTCGTACCTAAATTTTTCCATCGATCTTGTCCCTTTCCAACTCGTGATTATTATACAACCAAGCTATCAATACGCATTCAACCCTTTAGAAACTCCCTCCCCTCCCCTCCCCCCCCGCCTAAATCTTTCCAATCGAATCGAACCTCGAAACCCTCCCAAACCCCTTTCTACCTATCAACTGTTCGTCCACGACGTTAACAACGACGATGGAAGCTCGAGCGATCTTAAAACACTCGCCAGAACTTGAAACACGAGATTTCGAGAAAACTCTCGAAATCCCGCGCTGCTAAATTTTTCCACGAAAGAATGGAAAGCGGGCGAAAAACTCGAGGGGTTGTCGATCGATGTTCGCACGATCATCGAAACCGAGGTGAACCGAGGCTCGAGCTCGTCAAAAGGGGCGCACGTGTTCGGACAATGTTCACGCAGCCTGTAATCTTATACGTGGCGAGGAGAGCCCGGATCTCTTTTGACAAATATGCCGGATCGTCCCACACTCCGGTTCATCTATAATGTAATTCGAGATCGTAACTACTCGCGGCAAGATTATATTATGAACCTCCTTGGGGAAGGAGGAGGGAGAGGAGGGGGGGAAGGGGGAAAGGCGGCGGCGGCGGCACCGTTACAGAGAGGGGGAGAGAGGGATTACGTTGACCGCCTCTGCCGAGGTTCGACCACCATTACTCACGCGGCTCGGCTGTGTGATTCATTACACAGGTCCCTCTTCTCTCCCGTGGAAATTAAGTGGCCCGTTACGTTGTGAACGTGTCGAAATTATTGGCCGCGACATCGCTTCCCGATCGTTCTTCCAGGGACTGTCCAACGATCGTGGAATAATTCCTGTCGACGCTTGATGGACGGTTCGTGTTTGCGTTTCGAATGAGAAAAATGGACGGACGCCTTGTTGGGTGGGGTAGAGAGTTGGGTCGAGAGTTCGAGATATGTAAGCGGGGGTGGCGAGGAGTAACGAAAATAATGGGAATCAATTCCGTCGAGATTCTTCTCTCTATGCGGATCTCAACTCCGTACGACGAGTTATTATCAGTTGAATTTCGGGGAAGATTACTCTATTAACGCTAAAACCTACCACTGCGCGGTCAAATGACCGTTTTTGAAATTTCCTTTAGAATTTCTTGTGTATGACTTATCGACTTTTTCTATAATGTAGATACAACCCATTTTTCAATATTCACAACTTTCTCTATTGTTTGATTTCTTTACGAATCCAATTAGCTAAAATCTCTTTCTGTATTAGTAAGATACAAATGTTTTTTTGCAGCGGTCATTTGACCGCTCATGCTAGGAATAGGTATACGTGAAATGGAACGGTAGGTTTAGCGTTAAAATACAATATCGAGATTTGTTGCGAAGAATTCTCAAATTTTCCTATTCCTCGTTCTTCTTCTTCTTCTTCTGTGTCGATTCGCTTACTTTCGACGACTATAAACATTTCTCGGAGATTTAACAGAAAAAAATTAAAAAATCGAATTTACTTCTTGTGCTCGACTCTTGTCCAACTTTTCCATACGCCAGGCGACGTAAGAATCTCGCCTTTATTGCCGGATGTCGGTCGAAGGAACGCAATCCCGTGCAGAGAGAGCGGAAAGAGCGTGGAGGATCGTGAGGGGCGCGGCCGGTGTTAATAATCATGCATAGCGTATTGCAACTATCGAGCAGCATCGCTTATACACTTGTCCGGGTGGGCTTATGAAAAATGAACAATCGTGTCGTTCGCGTGGAAATGGAACGAAAAATTTCGACCGCCCACCAGTCATCCTTTCTTTCCCTCGTTCGCTTCTGTGTTTGTTTGTTTTCATCGCATGTATCGCGAGATTTTGTTGCGTTGCTTCTTCGAGTTTCTTTCTTTTTTTCTTCTTTTTTTTTTTTTCGCGTGTGAATTAAATAAGTTCACGTTACATTTTATTTACAGATGTCACGTATCACGTGAAAATTAAAACGAAAAAGAAAAGAAGTTTCTTCCATCGTTTCCCGATCTAAGATCAGGAAAATATTGTTAAAACGAAACGTGGCGAATCGCGGTTCACCTCGAAAATTTCGGGGGGGAAAAAAATTTAACAAACCGCTAGCACCAGATGCGCTACACGGAATGTGCTCTCCATTATCTCCATTACACGGTATCCGAATTGAAACTCGTAAACTGCGCAATATCACACACTTTATGCCATAAGTTACTTTAAACCCGAAATACTTATTACATCCTCGCTCGAATATCTTGGCGCTATAGCCATTAGCTTTAAATTTGAAAAGAAAAAAAAAAGAAATAAATAAATGCCTCATAAAACCAATACTACTTATCTCGATAACTTGTGAAATATGTAGAAATTTTAAGTATCCTCCTCTAAAAAATATATATATATATATATATTTATATTATATTATATATCATTCAACGCGAAATATTAAAAATACGAAGTAAATATCCCGAGATTTTCGAGCGAGAGTGTACACTGTGTTCACAGACCGATAAAAATTCGCGTCCCCCTGAAACCCTCGTTTATAAGAAATCGATGAGCAGAACTAATGGGCCAGGCCGGAATCACGAAACTCCCATCCCGGGGACGTCGTAAATTGTGCTAATGAATTTGGGAATTAGTACGTAAAAAAAAAAAAAAAAAAAAAAAAGAAAATACGACCCATGCAAGATGGAAGAACGGATTCCCTTCCATAAAGAGGAGTGGCCCCGTGCGAGATGAACGAATCGAATTGATGGACACGGTGGTGGAACATCGAGTTCCCATTAACTTACCTTCTCTTGTCCCAACATACATTTCACCGGTTCTTCGTTGCGAGATATTCTTTCTTTTTTTCCAGGGGAGAAGAAGGGGAGGGGGCGGGGGAGCGGGGGGAATGGTTCGATCGAGACGGAATCGTGAATCGAGTGGACCTCGGAGAGAAAGTGGGTGAATGAAATGTTGGACACACCGGTGGGTGGGGAGGCAGGTGATCAAGCAATGGAGTGCAACGAACTTACCTGAAACAGAGAAAAGAATATTGATTAATATCGGCGATTGGTCGGGCAGTATATCATGCTTGATATCATGATCTCAAAATCTAGGTATACGTAATTTATATCGCGCAAGAGTTGAATAAGAAACGAGATTTAAGAATATTGCGAATCAATGGGAAGGTGATATCCTTTCGGAAAGTAATAATTACTTTAATATTTAATATCTCGTAGGAGGAATAGGTGGATGGAATAGGCGACAAACGTTATCGATCTATTCATCGAAAACGCCTGCCTATCTGTGCTCACAGAACAAAACGATAATTAAACGTACAACTTATCACATCTCGTGCTTCGCGACATCGCGACACAACTTTCCATCGAGATGTTTAATAATAATATCTAATTTCAGATACGAGATCGAGAATTGTACCTCGAGCAGCAAGTGTCCACCGAACACATTGAAAAGAAGAAAAGTCACCCACTCGACCAATCCCGAAACCCGTTCCAAACTTTCATTAGAAGACGGCAACCGATCGACGGAAGCCCCCCATTCACCAAACCCACACGCGATCGCCCATTCATCCCGGTAACAAGTTTCACCAACCGGTGGTATCATCATAACGCTATCGAACGATTCCGTGAGAAAAGGAGGACACAATTTCCCCCAACGTGGTCGGTCAACATCGTCCCCCCCCTCTCGATTCGGATCGATTTAGATAGAAACCCGTGTCCTATCCATCCACGGAAGGATACGTGACGAGGAGGATGGCAAAGAATCGTCTCTCTCTCTCTCTCTCTCTCTCTGCGCTTTGTCACTCGGCATCGAAGAGTTAACCGTTTCGATCGTTTCTCGGTTATTGCCGCGTATTGTGGACGAGGAGAGCAGGTGGAGATAAAGCAGCGCGACAAGAAGACGCGTTGGCCTTTCTTTGGGGGAGGGGGAGATAAATCGAACGGGGAGGAGCAAGCCACCCACACTTGGGAGGGTTATATAGCGAGACTGCAGGCGGCGTGGTGCAATAACGGTGATATTGGAGCCGGTGGACGACGAGGCAAGACGCGGAACGGCCGCGAAGGGGAGGAGGTTAATAAAAGCGAGGAAAGACGGTGTACAAATGACCGAAAGGGACCTAGAGTCCCTTTCTCGGCCCGTTTCAATAAGTGGATCGGCCGCCGCGTTTCAGGCTAATTAAAATTGGCCACCGTTCCTTTGTCGGGGGAGGAGGGATGCAGAAGATCGGCCGGAAGCGGACTCTGGACACGGAAGTCTCTCTCTCTCTCTCTTTCTCGTTCTCAGTTTCCTGAGGTCTGGCTTTTTCGTTGCTCGAAAGAAACGAACGGAACGATGACAGAGGGAGGGGAGGAGGGCGACTTCTCATTATGGAAGTCTCCCTCTTTCGCGAATAAAACGAAGTAATTAAAGTTCGAGATAAGGAGGGGCGGGCATGGGAAATTACATTGGCTCCGGATGATGGAAAAGGGAGAAGGGTGTAACCTGGAGGAATTGAAATTTTAAGATCGTTTCGATTATTCGGAAGAATTTCTACATACGAGATACTGTATTTGGAGGATCTTTAGATCGTTGGATAATCCCCCCTTTTTTTTTCTTTAAATAGATATTTCCTCTTTCTGGATTTACTTGTTCGTATATTTCGACGTTGCTCAAATTACACAGAGAATCTTGACAAAAGTACCAACTGATTGAATATTTCGTGAAATACTTTCAACTCTTAAAGAACTCTTATCTTTCCATTCTTTCCAATCTCCGACCCGATCTAATCCCAATGTCTAGAAAAATTTACGCTTACTCAAAGTATCGAACGTATCGATACTTTGATCCGCAATCAGATCGATTAGATACGCTGGTTAATCTCGGCGAAAAGATTTCTATGCGAGTCGCACGGTGCTATGGGCGAGCCATAATCATCCGACGCGGCCAATAGATTGAATGGCAAATTATGCGTAATTCGTCGCAATGAGGCGGACATCGGCTCTGTCGCGCCTCGTTCCAAGAAGCGAATCAAAGGTGAAAGGGAAGAAAGCGTGCGATACCGCCGTGGTATCACGTTACGATGAAACTTCTCTTCCGGCGTGCGCCGAGGCAGATTTGCATAAAGGGCTGTTAAACGACGATTTAAATTCCTCGTTTATCTACGGGACAGAATTTAAAATTCACTAATTTACCGTTCGAGACACCAATAAAGATTCTCTTACAACAACGTATGAAGAAATTTCATCGATGGATCCCTATTTTTATCCCTCGTTTCCGATACACTCGCTTCTTGTCAGCTAACAATCAAATCACGGAAATTGATCGAAACGCCTCGCGTTTTCTTCCAAGGCTTCCAAGGTTATTGCAAACAAGTCATCGTTAATTCGATTCGTGTATCTATCCTTGGAGAAGGAGAATGATTTATAATTTCTCAACGAGGTTTTCAACGTGTCTGTCTGGGAAGTTCAGTTGAATATTTTCAAGTTTATTTTTATAATAACTTGAAAAATAAATTCCATTGAAGAAATAGGTAGAGATAGGTGCTAGATACTAATCTAAAATTTTTTACATATCTTGATATTACGGTACTTCTTTTACAAACCGAGATACGAAATCTTAATTTTCCAAATATCGCCAAGCAAACAAATTTAAGAAATTTCTATCCTTAAAACTGACTAACTCTTTCAAATTTCATTTTGTATCCCTTTTACTCGTCCCGGGTTTCATTTACTCCCGAATAATACTCCAGACCCAATTAGACTCCTCTAAACAGAAACAGACAATATTTTCGGCCGTACGCGCACGCCTTTCGTCTACTCGACGCGTCGAAAATAGATTTACAGAGAGCGTGAGAATTCGACAACGCGGTACACGCGTAAGAGTGCGTGGCCAGGCGTTGAATGCCTCAATCACCGCGGGCTGATTGTGCGTATCCAGCCGCGTCACGTCCTCCTCCTTCTCTTTGTCCGTGAAAAAAGATGGCGTGTGTGTATGCGTGTGAGTATACACCCGACCGTTTTAAAAAGGATCCAAATTGTCTCCAAGAAGCGCGAGAGAGAACGAAGGTGGAGGGATCGCATCCTGAAAGAGAATCCACGCCTCGTTCGACACTTTGCCGCTCGAAATTCGCATTATCGCAACGAGTGTACTTTATATACGGGACGTCCGTGTTACGAAAACGGTGGGTTCGAAGGAAGTGGAGAGAGGAAGCTCGGATGTAGGAGGAATAAAATTGTCTGGTGCTGGATGGAAGCGTGTATCTTTTATTATCGAGTGGATATTCACGGATGTGAAATTTTGTTGTTATCTTTTTTGTTCACACTTTCACGAGATTGCGACGAGAAAATTTGTTCAGAAATAGAAAGATGGTTGATGGAAAAATTATTGTTAGGGTGAGTTGCAAAGAATAGAAGGTTTTGAACAAAAGGAAGGCATTATTTCTCTAAAGGAAGGATTTTTGAATAACGGATCGAATTATCGAATGATAATGATTTGACAAGTGGATCGCGCTAGGATAAGACGCGAAGGAAAGAAGATACTTGACGTTTGGAGTGGGGGGGGAGATCGAAGGAAATGAAACTCCTTTTTATGCGAACATCCTTTTCTTTCCAGTCATCATCTCTTTATGCGAGAAAAAGCTTGGAGGATGAGTCGATGAGCATCCCCGAATCGGGTTTTCGACTTTCAATGGACTGTTGACTTGTCCCAAACTCGCGGAAATTACTACGTCATAACCGTACTCGTTCCATACATCAAATCCATCGAGAATACATTCAGAAACCTAATATACTATCTCGCTTACAAATAACACAGAAGACTAAGAAAAGGATTTCGTTTAACCGTATAATTCCAAATCTCTAAATTTATTATTAATAATAAAAAAAAAAATAATTCCTCGACGATCATTTTTCCAAAAATAAAAAATATCTAATAATAATATTCGAAGTACACGAAGATCCACCAACAACAGTTTCAGGTGATTCGAAGCACGAGCAAATTTCTCACGCTCTGCCGCGACACCCCGTTATCCTCATTAACATGGACACGAGAACTCTTGGTATCGTAGATATCGAATAATCGAAAGTCGGGGATTGTTCCGTTCATTAAACAGTTAAAGTAGCCAAAGTTGAAACTGGGAGCCGCGGCAACAACCGTGAACATTCTTGCGCCGAATGAAGTTCAGAAACAGGAGTTCCGGCTAATAGAATCAGCCATTTTGGGGAAGGGTGGCGTCGCTACTCCTCCGGTATACAAAGAGAAACTTTGGAGAAACACGAGAAAACTGTTTTGCCGGGTTACTCGTTACGTTACACTCATCCAGGCTGCGTGCGCTACGCAAACGCGAGGGGGCTCGTGCCCCTCCTCCCTCCACCGTACACGATAACGATTAAGGGTGGCCGCATAAGGGTAAATTATCGTCGCTTTTGTTTTTGCGGCGAATAATTGCAGGAAATAATAGCACCGCTAATATTTGTACACTGGCAAACATTTTCGTAATAACCGTTAGGCTGGTGGTTCCATATCTCGTGGGTTTAAAAAAATATTTCTCTCTCTTTCTCTCTTTTTTTTTTAATATATATATTTTTTATTTCGACAGAATTCGCCATCTCTCCAGATTTGATCAGATTATTTTTTAATTTTAATTAAACGGGGACAGAATTGACATTTGAAATATTCTCCCAAGTAAAAATTCTCAAGTAAAAATTAAATATATTCGTTCAAATCCAATAATTTTATCTATTTTTTTTTTTTTTCACTGCCCAATTCCTCCAACAAAAATATATTCTCCATTTCACCTACAATTATTAAATCACTCCTATCAAAGGTTTCTCAATTCTCGAATTACCATCTATCTATCCAAACACGATATCGACATTTTCGTTTCACGAGGAAACGTAAACGTAACCCGTAAACGTAACCCTCAGCTCTACGCGGTGTCCAAAAAATTACAGCGGATCACGGTGTAACAACCGTGTTCGGGATCACGTTACACGTGTACTCCCTCGGCGGGAGTTCATTTGAAATTCCTCTC